AAGGAAGGAAGGAAGGAAGGAAGGAAGGAAGGAAGGAAGGAAGGAAGGAAGAAAGAAAAATCAGTGAGTGTCCTCTTTATGTTACTAAGGAGAAGCCAGCAACTGAAGCAGTATTCAAATTGAGACTTTGGTGTGAAAAGCCAGCCCTATAAAGAGTTTGAATGGAAGAATGGAAAATGGAACAGCTTGAGAACAGTATTAATAGAAAGGACACCAGTGGGGATGAAGTGATAAGAGAAGTCAGTAAAACTTGATCTAAGATAACACATGAAACCCCCTGTGTAAATAAAATACTTGAAAATAACACAGAGATGCAAATGCTCTTTTGAACATGGAAGACACTTTTAATTCCTCACTATAAGCAGCACAGCCTGATTGTTTACATACAACACAAAATACTTCTGCTGAATTAAAAGACAGTTCATTGCTCTGTGACAGAGCTCCAGGGGCTGCATGCAGTAACACCAGCACCAATGTCAGCCCCTTCTGCCTGCACCAGCTTACAAACAGCCACAGCAGGACCTGGATAGGAATCCCAAGAAGGCAGAGGGACATGTTTTCATAAGTACAAATCTATATCTTAAACAAGATCTTGAGCAGAGTAATGTGTACTGTACTCCAGCAGTATCTTGAAATTTTACTTTTCAAGAAATTTGGGGTTTTAAATATGCATAAGCATGTCTCTTACCCAATCTTTTCTTGATACTTTATCATATGTACATACTAGCCGGGTGTTCAGCTGCCAGCCTGGGGTTCTCGGGGTTTTCTAGCAGTATGGACACAAGTGAAGTACATAGAGGGTAGATGACTAACTGTCTTAACGGGACAACTCTGGATAATGGACTTTTCGTGGCCATCTTCTCTTCTTTCTTCATTTTCCCACTCCCCTACCTAGAATCTTTTCCCATGTGAATAGCTTGACCTTGAATCATTATTTCCTAACATTTTCAGGGAAACAAAGCTACCCTACCTTCCAACTCCTTCATCTACTCCTTCCCTCCTTCCTCCTCCCTCCCAGGGTGTTTTATCAGCAGTAGGAAATGGGACAAAGACTATGTGTACCCGCACAAAATTAGCTGCAAATAGAAACTGGAAATAAACTTTTAGAGTAGACAAATGTTAGTAGAGTATAAGACAGAAGTCAAATAATTCTGGTTTGTATGTACAGTTAGCAGGTTTTCATCTCTCTATTTTTATTAATGTATTATACTTTGGAGACAGAATCTTGCCATTAACCTTGACTGCATAGTCTAGAATGGCCTTGAACTTTGGTCAGTCTTTAGAAAAAAAGACATTGCTTTCATGCAACACTACAGAGTGTGATTACATACCATAGTAGGTCCTGGGTCAGGTGTACCTCTAGTGCTCCCCCTGTGCTATGTACTGAACAGCATTTGCCAAGGGCTGCTCTTTCCTGTGCTCTGCTGGAGGGGTCCTCATCCCCAGGGGCTTATGCTGCAGAGGACTCCCAGCCAAGAAGACTTTACATTTAAACGTTTCACATGCTTAGAGGAGGCTAATAAGTGTGGCATATGTTCATTTGTTTTTACTCTGTTTCTGTTCCAGTGAAAGGATGCATACTTTTATATAATTGACAGTCTCCTTAGACTGCAAGAGTTGTTTTTATTTAAAAAAGAAAAGATTTTGATTTTTATAAATTCATGTGACTCATACTTTTTTCATAGACCTCTTGGTTGTTTGGTCCTTTATAACATCTTAGCCATGAGAGGGAGGACTAACTAAAGATTTCCTATTGAGGACTTCCTGAGATGGTTACTCACTTAGCGTACGTGTTCTAGAGTGTAGTGGTCTAGACTACCAGGACTAGAGATGAATACAGGTGAACTCATAGTGCAGGTATGTGGCCGATGACACCTTCCTGTGGCAGCTGTCCTTGATATTCAAGGTTTGTTACTTGTAAACACACCAGGCAGACTGTAAACCTGTGGTTACTACTAAAAAAATAATTAAGAATTTTATCTGTGCAGATGAAAAGTCGTGGCTTACTTTATATAATTTGTCTGTGTGCCCTTTAATGTTCTTAGGCATAAATATACTTACTTTACCTTAATTTAACAATATTTACTATATACCTTAATTTACCAATGTTACAAAAAATCATAGAAAATTAATTTTTAGATATATTTACTGGAAGAATGTAATGATTAATAAGGCAAAAAAAATGTTGCTTCTTTATTCATGCTGAGCTTTTAGTGGTGCTGAAAGAGAGCAGAATGCTGGAGTAGAGAATAGAGATGTGTAAGCTCCGTAGGCTCTCACTGCAGTCATAAAATCTAAGGTGAGGTCTGTAGTCCCCTGCTCATAGAGGAATCTGACCTGGGGTGATGTCTGCATGAGTCTTCCTCTTTTTCTTCAGTTGGTAATTCCATTAACTACCCAAGATGACTTGGACAAAGCTGTGGAACTGCTGGATCGTAGCGTTCACATGAAGAGTCTCAAGATATTACTTGTAATAAATGGGAGTACACAGGTATGAATTGGAGTTGTATTTCTCACTGAAGATTATAAGACTGTAATCAGGGTTATACCTAAATTTTAATTTATAAACTATAAATTTATATTTTTTATTGCTGTATCTTAATATCTTTGCTCCTCAAAACTATATAGTTAGAATTACAAATAATATATTAAACATGTGAAACTGATAGAAACTGGCAATTTGAGAAGAATTATATTAAAATTGAAATGTCTGTTTTGTATTTTTATTTTTTACACTAATTTTGTGTGAGGTAGCATGTGCACATGCCCACAGGCACATATATGAAGATTAGTTTTCTCAATCTCACATGTTAGATTCAGGGTTTGAACTTGGGTCATCAGGGTTGGCAGCAAGCACACTCACCTGATGTGCTCTCTTACTGGTTTTGAAATGTTTCAAAACTTCAACCAACCTCCCACCCTCCCACCTACCCTCCCTCCCTCCCACCCACCCTCCCTCCCTACCTTCCTCTCTCCCTCCCTCCCTCCCTCTCTCCTTTCCTTCTTATTCCTGTGCTCAAGTGATCTTCCTGCTCTCATCTTCCAAGTGGTTGGGTTAGTAGGCTTGCGACACTATTTTGGTAGATTAAAATTTGTAAGAGTAGATTTTAAAAGGCCCAACAAGAATAGAGGATGGCTAGACTGTATTCTAGAAAGGGGATGATTCTGGTGAAAGCCCCAAGTGGGAAGAATAGCATTAATTGCCCTTTTCTCTTCTAGGCTACTAATTTAGAAGCATCATCATCACCAGAAGATTTGAGTAATACACCACTTGGTGCAGAGAGGAAAAAGCGGCTATCTGTAGTAGGTGAGAAAGGCAGGTTCTGAATAAGGAAACGAGTGATTTCTCAAAGCCTTCTCATCTTTTACTATGTGGTAACATGAACTAGATCCCTGAAAATAGTCTCTCTGCAGTTACATACTTTAGTCACTTTGTCTTATCCAATGTTCCTGAGAAATTAATTTCACATATTATAGGACTAGCAATAACCAATTTAAAGTTTTTTTTTCTACACAGAATATTTCAATATTCAAAAATTCAAGTAGAACCTTGAAGAAGTTTTAGTCATTTTAATAGAGGGAGGAAGTAATTGTAGGACAGTAACATGAGTAGGCTAGACTCTTGTTCTAAGTTCCCTAGGATTTTAGGTGTTTCCAGGATACACTGTCAATATGAAAATGGCTAAGAATATCTAGACCATGTTTTATTATTATTCTCTCAGTATCCTAATGTATTTATCATCAGTAATGCATTCCTTATACCTAAGCTTCTGATGAAGTAAAGATATGTGTACTATATATTGTGAAGTAGCCTTGTTGAGCCTGTGCTAACAGTGTTCTGAACCCTCCATGCTTGTTGTCAAGGAAAAAAAAAACCATTGACAAGGAGCTGGAGAGATGTGATTAAGAGTGTCTTCTTTTTGCAGAGGAGTCTGATTCCTAGAACCAATGTCTGGTGGCTCACAACCACCCATGACTCTTAGTGTAGGGGATCCAGCACTATCTTCTGGCCTCTTCTGCCACGCACATGCACATGCCCATGAATACACGTAGACTTGCACGTGCCCAGAAATAAAAGTTATAAAGTAAATTCTTAAAGTATCATTCAAAATACAAAAAAAAATTGACAAAATAAAAGTGTTTCTTTTTTTTTTTTTGGTTTTTCAGGGTTTCTCTGTGTAGCCCTGGCTGTCCTGGAACTCACTCTGTAGACCAGGCTGGCCTCGAACTCAGAAATCCGCCTGCCTCTGCCTCCCAAGTGCTGGGATTAAAGGTGTGCCCACCACCGCCTGGCTAAATGTTTCATTGTTTAAAGAACAGTTGATAGAGTTATTTTTAACAGATAGGGCAGAGGATGTAGTCATTCCAGATCGCATGAGTTCTTGTACCGAGGCATACATTTGAAGAGGAAGTAGAGGAAGAGAGACAGGTAAAGAGGGGAGAGAAAACGAGAGCAGGACACAGTAAGACACTCAGGTGAAGATTTAGAAATGACTGGAGTAAGAAGAGGGTTGCTGACAATGAAAAGATGAAATTAGCACGTGAGTAACTAGAGCAGTTGTTTTTCTTTGTTTTCTAGAAGAAGCTGCTACCCCTCCTACCTGTCCTATCCTCCCAATGAAATCACCTATGGGTACCAGCCCCCCCCCCCCCCCCCCCCCCCGGCACATAATGTTGCTGCAGCAAGACTAAGCACATCTTCTTCCACTGAGGCCAGACAAGGCAGCCCAGCTAGGGTGTGGGGATTCAGAGGCAGGCCACAGAGTCAGAGGCTGCTCCTGCTCCAATTGTTAGAGGTCCACATGAAGGCCAAGCTGCATGTTTGCTACAAGTGTGTAGGAGCCTAGGTTAGAAGAAGCTGTTTTATGGCCATTCTTTTTTAGGTGTTTTGTCTCACATGAGTATTGCAGAAAACTAGAGATATGACCCACAGAGATGATGCACAAATAGAGCTGGCTTGTCCTTACTTAGATATACTTGATATTACTAAAAGCAAAAGCAAAAACAAAACAATACCACCACCAACAGTGAGAGAATATTTGAGTTATGAGAATTCAAACTCTGGCACTGTCACTCTCAGTATGAGACCAGTAATTTTACCCTTGCCTTTGGACGATGGGGTTAAGCCATAACCAGGGCACTTCTCAAACTGGAGGCACAGCTGCTATCTTTCTTTGTGGAAGTAAAGTAAAACACTCACTACATTTCAGTTGTCAGACAGGAAAAGCTTACATGCACTAGTTAAATTGCCCTTTGATTTCCTTAATATTAACCTACTAGTAAGTATTTTTGTTGTTTGACTTTGGTGCCAGGATAAGAAAAAAAACCTGAAAATTATGCAGAATTACTATGAATGTGTTAAGAAGCCCATTAAATGAATATTAAGAAACATGTATGGGTTGTCAAGTAATTGGATAAAGAAACTTTTATAGCTCCCTTCTTTCTCAGTCTCCTTTTAGTTGAGTATATTGCTCTAAAATTAAAAAAAAAGTATGCAGAAAGATGAAAATATCAGGGATGCAGTAATGAGTGTGGCTATAAGTGTTAGAGAGCCTCCATGAGCTCTGCTCGGAGCTTAGCACACACCTCGTTCCAGCCAGCAGATGAGGCCTCTTGCTTCTTCTCCCTACCTAACAGATGACCCCTTTACATGTGCTTACTTCTTTTTTTTTTTTAAATTTAAACTTAAATAGAACAACACTTACATGTTTGTTTACTTTAAAAAACACTGCAAGGAAAGCAAACAACTTGATTAGTAAAGTATCATTTCCCGTGAACAAGGTAATTAAATGACTGCCAGCCTTTTCTCTACAAGAAGTAGTATAGTATTGTGTTCATTGATGTGAGAACAGACCAGTTGCCAAAGACACTAAGATGGTACCGGGGCTTAAACTGTGCCTTGGTTGCAGGGACCTTATTCCTTTCCTATATGGAGATATCAGTCACAGATTATGTTAAATATAGGCAGATACAATTTGTCTTTGGAAATTCACAAGCTGTGGCATAAGATTCTGTAGTGTGTTATCAGCCCATGATATGGTTATCAACAGTCAGAAAAACTTGAGTATGAATTAACACATTCTAATGAGGTTGTAAAATGTGAATTTAGAAAGGTTTTTAAAAAGATCTAAACCTGAATATTCTGATTAACTTTTGTAAACAGTGGATTTTATTTGTTAAAGTTATTTTTTTTTATGTAGTTAGAAATGAGACCTATTTAATTGAAACAAAAATTAATTTCCTTGCTGACAAGGATAAAACTTTATAATTTTTCTTTTTGAGGTCCCCCTAATAGGGATAGAAGTTCCCCTCCTCCGGGATACATTCCAGACGAACTACACCAGATTGCCCGGAATGGGTCATTCACAAGCATCAACAGTGAAGGAGAGTTCATTCCAGAGAGCATGGACCAAGTAAGCCAGAACTGGATGCTATTTTTCTCTAGATGCTAAGATACACTGGTCAGGTGACTGGATGGTGTGTGTGTGTACGTTTTCTCTAATCTATCTTCTTAAGTCAAAAAGTTATTATAAACTGCCTATTAATTTATATATACCTTTTTGTATTGGTATATCAAAAAATACTAGAACAAGCTGGGTTTTTTTATTTGTCATCTATGATGCATTTGGCTTATAATCTTTTAAATTAAGATTCAGATTTCTTAATAAATTATCTATCTATCTATCTATCTATCTATCTATCTATCTATCTATCTAAAGTTTTTTGAGACAGGGTTTCTCTGTGTAGCACTGACTGTCCAGGAACTTGCGCTGTAAATCAGATTGGCCTTGAAGACTAGAGTGCTGGTATTGAGGGCATATGCCAACACTGCCGGCTTAATGAATACTTTAAAGATAGAGTAAAATTATAAGTACTTTATGAAGTGTGATTTGTGAACTGTCTTTAGTACTTAAATGTTTCTGTGGAGTCACCGTTAGAGCCTTCCGTTGCCTAAGTGCCCACAGTCCTATGGCATTTTCCGTCTCTAAGCACTAAGCACTGTATGGTTTGTCTCCATTGAATAGGGAGGGCCATTGCTCACTTTTATGTAAGTAATATTACTGTGGCTTCAATTACTTGACTATAAAAGTATAAAAACTATAAAAGTATAAAAGTATATTTTCTCTCAAAAGATTTCTGTAATCATAGCTTGTTTATATAGGATGCTTAAAAATGAGTAATTCTGGGTAGTAACTGCTATTTGTTACTGTTCCTTTTGAAGAGTCTAAAATAATTCTAAAATTGTGAGGAAAGTCACAATACATTTCTTGATATGCTAGAAACCATTGAATTACATAGTTTAAATGTATGAAGTTTATGTTACATCATGTTTCAGACTTTTTTTTTTAATATACAAAGGATAACAGTTAATTGAGGCTGGCTTACAGCTTTAGAGGTTCAGTCTAGTATCATCAAGGCGGGAACATGGCATCCAGGCAGGCATGGTGCAGGAGGAGCTGAGACTTTTGGTTATTGTCAGGCCGAGTCATGGTGGATTTTTTGTTTTCCTAGATGCTGGATCCATTGTCTTTAAGCAGCCCTGAAAATTCTGGCTCAGGAAGCTGTCCATCACTTGATAGTCCTTTGGATGGGTAATGATTATAGTTCTGCTTTTTAGTACATATTGGTAAAAATGCATACACATAGAATATGGAGTTATCAATAATTTTTTATTCTACATTTTGAAGAGTGTTGTTCATTGATAATTGTCTACGCTGACAGCAAGCAAAGTTTTCTATATTGTGAATAAATCTACATCATGGGTTCAGTGTCTTTATTAGTTGTTGGATTATGTTTTTTTCATGCTATTTCTGCTTGTCCAAAATGTGTTTGAAGCAAGTGCAAACAGAATTTACATATGTTTATTTTATGACAGCTCTTGAAAATGTTATAAAACTTCTCATGACTGGTTTTGGAAATTTCATTTTTTAAAAAATTGTTTATTCTGTATGCCTAATACTCATTGTCAGGGCGCCCTCTGCTGTTCTCAGGAAATTGCTGTTTGCCGTCTTCCTATAGCACAGAATTAGTATTAAATGTTTCACTTGTTTGTCTCCTCTGGGATTCTTTATCAAAATAGATACACATTTGGAAATTCATGTATACTTTCCTCTTATCCACACCTGCCTGTCAGTGCCTCGGAAAAACTGCTCTGCCCCACCCCTAAAATAAAAACAGCAAAAAATTTTTAGTGAACTGTCCTGAATATTTGTCATTAATGTTTGATAAGTTAAAATTATATGTCTTTAGTATAGATTCAGAAACAGTTTCAGAAAAAAATGATTTTCCAACATTGAACCTAAGTATAGGTGCTTCAAACCTCCAGACTTCCAAATATATCATTCTTACCCCTGTACTTAATAGCTAGTTTAAAAGCTAGGCTTTTGTCTGTGTGTACCAAATGAGTGTTTCAAAAGAAGTTTTTCTTTTTAAAAATTTATGTTATGCTGTCAGTGGTGGCCCATGCCTTTAATCCTAGCACTCGGGAGGCAGAGGCAGGCGGATTTCTGAGTTCAAGGCCAGACTGGTCTACAGAGTGAGTTCCAGGACAGCCAGGGCTATACAGAGAAACACTGTCTTAAAAACAAAAACAAAACAAAAAAATTAATTTATATTAATATTTAAGTGAACTTCTTTACACACACACACACACACACACGCGCGTGCACACACGAGAACACATGTAGAAATACAGATATTACTTAAAAATATTTTTTGTTTTATTCCATACCCTCCTTCAATTTAATTTTACATTTTCTATTTATAGAGAAAGCTACCCCAAATCTCGGATGCCTAGGGCACAGAGCTACCCAGATAATCATCAGGAGTTTTCAGGTTAGACTATAAATTCAATGTGCTTGAATGTTTATGTCATGGTTTGGCTAGGAGGGGAAATTTTTTTAAAAAATTAAAAATGATACTATGCTTTTCATTATTAAAAAGATTTGACTTTTAATGATACTGTTTTTATGACTTAACAGACTATGATAACCCCATTTTTGAGAAATTTGGGAAAGGAGGAACATATCCAAGAAGGTATCACGTTTCATACCATCATCAAGAGTATAATGACGGTAAGTTTTGAACTTACAATCAGACTATAAGAACAGATTAACATTAAGCAAACATTACAAAAATGAGCATACATTTAAAAAAACCTCATTTTTTATAACCAAATAATTTGTTCTTGAGTCACTTAATTTTCTGGTTAAAGAAAGAAGAAAAAGAAAAACCTTTGCCAAGAATGGTAGGTAGTACATACCTTTAGTCTCAGGAGGCAGAGTCAGGCAGATCTTTAAGAGTTCAGGGCCAGCCTGGTCTACATAGTGAGTATCAAGACAGCTAGCTATAAGGTTTCAAACAAAACAGTAAATAAGACAACAATCCTTTTTTCTGGTAACTGACTGGTAACTCAGTAAAGTGTAAAGTCCTTTAGTACAGGAACCTGAATTCTGATCCTCAGAACCCATATAAAAGCTGGGCACAGCAATGTGCAACCCTTACCTGAGCTTGGAGGAGAGGATGTGGAACAAGTAGATCCTTGAAGCTTGGCCAGTGTAGCTGAATCATGAATGTCAGGTTCAATGAGAGACCCAAAAGTTGTATGCCAAAAGATAAAGATGGCAGCTGGGCACGTGGCCCATGCCTTTAATCCTAGCACTTGGGAGGGCACCCTAGTCTACATAGTGGGTTCCCGCCAAACAAAATTACAGAATTACATAGTTATACTCTGTCTTAAACCAAATAAATAAATAAACGATTATGCCATAGATAGATAATAGATAGATAGATAGATAATAGATAGATAATAGATAGATAGATAGATAGATAGATAATAAAACTCGAGAGTGATTGAAGGAGATACCCAGTGTTGACTTTGATCTCCACATACGTGTACATGTGTTCTATTGCTGTGAAGAGACACCATGATTATGGTAACTCTCTTAAAGGAAACAGTTAATTGGGGCCAACTTAGAGTTTCAGAGGTTCAGTTCATTATGGTTGTAGAAGCATGGCAGACATGGTGCTGGAGAGATAGCTGAGAGGTCTACATCTGGATCAGAGGGCAGCAGGAAAGAGAGATACTGGGCCTGGCTTGAACATTGGAAACCTGAAAGCCCAGTGACACACTCCCTTTCACAGGGCCACACCTCCTTATACTTCCCAAATTGTGCATCAACTGGGGTCCCAGGTTTCAAATATATAAGCCTATTGGGGGCATTCTTACCCAAACCACCAGGATCCCATTTCTTTACTGTTGTGGATAAATGTGGATGTGCCAGTGTCTTAGTTTGCACTCTGCTACTATGATAAACATCATGACCAAAATAACTTGGGATGCTACTATGGTAAACATCATGACCAAAATAACTTGGGAATGAAAGGATTTATTTCACCTAGCAGGTTACAGTCCATCATGAAGAGAAGTCAAGGTAGGAACTGAAGCATAAGCCATGGAAAAATGCTGCCTACTGGCTTGCTCTCCTGGCCTGCTCAGCCAGCTTTTATACATAGCTCAGATCATCTGCCCAGGGTGGCACCTCTCACAGTGAGCTGGACCCTTCCACATCCATTATTAGTCAAGAAAGTGTTCCACAGTCTTGCTTACAAGTCAGTCTGATGAAGGTAGTTCCTCAGTTGAGATTGCCTCTTCCCAGATGAATTTAGCTTGTGTCAAGTTGACAAAACAAGAACAACCAAAACAGAGAGTATCTCTCTGCTACCTGTAACTTTCTAATTTGGTTTTATGTTTATTTTAAAGCCATTAGTGGAAATGAAAATGTTTTTTCTGTGGAAGTGAAGGTTTGTTTTTTCTTCTGTTTTTCATGTGCACATGAGTGTATGTGCACTTTCCTGTAACAGAGTACTCTAATTTGTATCCACTACCACCTTCACACACATAATCATTGTTATTTCAGCCTATATTTGCAGGGCAGAGTCTTATTTCCTATACTATAGCTGTTCAAGTCTTAAAAGTGTAGTCTATTACACTTAATATAAGGAGTAAGTTAATTCTGTTTTCACTTTTTAGGTCGGAAGACTTTTCCAAGAGCTAGAAGGACCCAGGGTACTAGTTTCCGGTCTCCTGTGAGTTTCAGTCCTACTGATCACTCCTTAAGCACTAGTAGTGGAAGCAGTATCTTTACCCCAGAGTATGACGACAGTCGAATAAGAAGACGGGGGAGTGACATAGACAATCCTACTTTGACTGTCACAGATATCAGTCCACCTAGCCGTTGTAAGTAATAGAAATGTATAGCAGAAACTTTGCATAGTTTTGTGTTAACAGGAATAAATGGCAAGTCAGAACTCAGGGAAAAACAAACTCTTCGTAAGAGAGAGTAATATGTTTTAAAAGGTGGCTATACTATCAGGTGTAAGTGTGTTTTACTGCTAAACTAGCTTAGCTAATTTTTCTTCACTTTTTTTTAGGAAAATTGTTACTAATTGTTCTCATCAATTCTGTTCTAGATGTCTGTTAAGCACTGAGGCTTTGTATGAGACTTGTAAGAGATAGCCTAATGAGAAGATTGGTTTGTGGAGAAAAAAATTACAGTATAGTATTCAACCTAGATCATAAATATGTGTAGAGATTTACTAGCTGTGTGTGTTTATTACTGATTCAATATCTTACCAAAACAGCTTAAGGGAAAGATTTATTTTGGCTCAAGATTTTAGTCTGTGGTCCTTGCCTCTGTTGTGCTGAGGCAGAGTACCATGGTGGTGGAAGCATTGGTAAAGAAGACATAGTAGGAGGTAGAGAGGACATGCATACCTCATAGAAGATGACAAACAGGACTAGAGATGTTGAATTCAGTTCCCGGATGGCTATGGCTTAGGCTTAGGCTTAGGCTTAGGCTTAGGCTTAGGCTTAGGCTT